TCAAGCTCACAATGCTTCTGTCCAGCCACCCGTGAGTGTGTGTGTGTGTGAGGCATGCAGCACAGCAGCTTGGGAGACTGAGCTCAAGGAAGGCAGGAACTGGCTGGTCTGGGTGCTGCTGAACTCCCAGTCCACTGCCAGGCAGAACAAGGAGCCGCTAAGAAAAGCCTGACTGATGAATGAGCCCTTGGGTGGTGCAAGCGCTGAATGGGTGTCCCAGTTAACATGTGGTGGGTGCACAGAGAGGGTATTTTTGCAGGGAGTTTCTCTAATTGGAGCCAAGATGATGCATGGTGTGTGTGACCAACATATAATCTAATTAAAGAAGGTCTTCCAGACTTCGGAGTGATCGGATTGCAGCCCAGAATGCAGGATAAGGTCACCTCCATTGTTCTGCCTCTTTCTAGCTCACAAACAGGGTCCCTGCAATTTTACGAGTGTACTCATTATAGTTTGTGATTTCCCCCAAAGCTGTGTGAGCGAAGTCAGCATCAGTCCTGCCTATCTTCATACAAGATGCAATGAGACTGCGAAGTAGATTAATAGGTGGGTGGTTAACAGAAGCAGCTTCGGGAAAACCACCTCATAGCCCCAACACCCAGTTCCCCCTTTTATAAATTGGGGTCATAATTACATCATTTCATAGAAATGATGTAAATATTAAAAGCAAGGATGACTGCACAGTGCTTCACCCTCTTTAAATCCTCACCAAAATTTTATTTTAGTTACTAGTCAGAGAGCCTGCAAGGATGACTGCACAGTCACTAAAGTTTTATTTTAGTTACTAGTCAGAGAGCCTGCAACAGGTTCCATTGGATCTTGCTGGGGACTGTGGGCAAGACAGCCACCTCCTCTAGCCCTGAATTGTCCTATCTGTCACACCAGATAGGAGAGGGAGCTAAGGTTAACAAACTGAGTGCCTACTATGTGCTTACCCTGAGTATTAGCACAGAGAGCTAGAGGAACTGAGGGCTTCCATGTGGTAAGAGCAAGCGTATGGGACCCTGACATATACCAGGTAGGTGTTAAGCTCTTTGCATACATGAACACAACCAACATTCATAGTGACACTGATGACAATGCTGTTGCCCGCGTTTTGCAAGAAAAGGTGTCCAGACAAACAAAGTCTCCCCCGACTTGCCCAAGGTCACATGGGTAGCCAGTACCAGAGATGGGCTTTGAACTTGGAGACCAACTTTATATTCTAGTGCCCTTCCAGCACAAATATCACCTGATTCTTGATGACCATGACCTAGACTCTTTGAAGAGCAGAGTCCAGCCAGATAAAGACATGTATCTCGCCTCTTTCCCTAACACTTTTGGTTTCTCTTTTTCTTATCTATCTCCCTGAATTCCCTGCAATCGTGTCTGCATTATCTGTTAGTCATACAACATTTCTCTGCTGATACTGTCCCCACTGACAATGCATGGGAGAGACAGGCTGTGGTCTTGGAGAGATCCCCACAACACCCTGATAGCTGTGAGTATCCTCCTTCCTGTGTCGAGGCTGAGTCACTGGTTCTGCAACCCTCCCCATCACCACCTCTCTTAATAACATCTTTATCAAAACCCTGCTCATTCTCCCCATCACAAAATGTCAGCTTACCAAACCAATCAGTAGTATGTTGCTTGTTTTCTTAACTTCTCACCTTTCCAATTCAACTCTAGAGAAAATGTGATCTTCGTGTCATTCCCACCTGAGACATTTTAGCATCTTTGAACCAACTATGGAACAGACTGTTCAGTGCTGTGCTTGAGTAAGGACTCTGGAGCCAGTCTCCAGGGCTCAAACCCCAAATCCTTCATTAATTACTTCTGTACCCTGGGAGATGTGTCCCTGTATCTCAGCTTCCTCTCTGTTTCACCAGTGGTGGTGATGGGTGATAGTGATGGTGGTGACTCTTTACAGAGTCACTGTGAGAGTGGAGTGATTTTACATCCAAGTGTTTGAAACAGTATCTGGCACTAAATAAGCATGAGCTATATTTTTCTATATGTCCCATGGGAAAGGCATCTCCATTTAAATTAATCTCTACTGCTTTCTAAGGGAGAAACTCCAAATGACTTAGAGTAGAAGACTTTTAAAGATTACCCTTAAAAAAAGAGGAGAAAAATAACAGCTTTATGGTGCTCTCTGAGTTACAGCATGCTTTCATTTACCATGCAGAATGTGGTATTTGCAATCATCCTCAGGGGACATAAGGAGGACTTAGAACCCCATTTTACAGATGACAGGCAACCATTTGTGAGAGACTACCCAAGTCTTGAAGGGGAGATGTGAAGCTAGAATGATGATTTTTCTGCCTGATTCGATGTGAAACTAGAATGATGATCTTTCTGCCTGATTCAGAATACAACTCAATGTTTTTGTGTGTCTTCGTTGAAACACACAGGAAACAAACAATAAGCAAAACCCAATTTGACAGAAAACCCACCTGATCTAATACAGTTCACCCTTCTTCCCTCCATCCTTTCAACCACTCCAGTGTTTTCAAGTCTCCAAGAACAGCCTAGGAGAATGTTAATTCACCAGAATTGGGGAGTCATAATAAAGTGTGAAAAGTGGATTTAGTGGAGAAAGTAAAGGGCAGCCTGCAGACACACAGAAGAATACTATTTTCCTTCTGAAGAGGGCAGTGTGTAACCGACGCCAGGTCTACTCACATTATCAGGGTTTTCTTCCAGGTCTGGAAGGCTGTAGGCAGTGCAGCAGGCATCTTGGGTTTCCAAGAGCTTATTTCTGAATGGCGAACACATCTTCAGACATGAAATAAGATTCTTGAGGTTTGAGCAGTTACACACAGCCTCTCCTCCAAGGGGCATGGTGCAAACCGATCCAGAGCTGGTTATGCAAGACGGATAGAAGAAATGAGTTCTTTTTCCATGCTCTTGCACTTGTCTGCTCTCCCAAATCAGCTTGATGAAATTAAACAACAGCACAGCACCCCAGATGGTCTCTGATGCTTACAGAAGAGTGTGATTCTTTTCCACGAAGATGAACGTGCAATGTAGTCTCTGCTGCCTAAAGCAAAGCACCTTTTCACGAACATCCTTTGCACACACACAAAAAATATTGGAAATGGGGATATTAGCTCCTGGGATGCATTTATCAAACCAATCACAGTAATTATAATTAGAACACAAACTAAATGAAAGCTAAGCATGAAATACATTTGCAGAAAACCTGAACTGCATATAATTAAGTCCTGCTTGATGACATTTTGAGGTATACTATTAATATATTTTGGGGGTAGAGGATTGATTTTTTTTCTTGAAATATCTTTAGCTAGTTGCATCAAAGTTTCCAAAAACAATTAAGGAGGAGGAAGAAGGATACACTTTATTAACCATTAGTCATAGAACTATAAGAAAGATGTCCAAAAGTAGTTTAACTGGCTATTTTAAACACCCTATGAAATACATTCTTTGGGTAATAATTTAACCTAGGTCTTAGGTTTTAGGTTAGCGATGAAAAGAAACTTGAACATTTGGGGAGAAAATAAAGCTTCAGTCCCTAATCTCAGTTTTGAGGATGCATAAGTTAGCAGTGTTGGTTCCCTTGGGTCTGAAAAAGAAAGTTCATTCTCCTTAGGGAGACACTTTCATTCAAGAGTCACTCTGACTGATAAAGTTCTTTCCACTTTCTCCTTTTGTAAACCTAGGTTTTCTCAAGCATTACTCCACTAACACACTGGTGGTTTAACTGTTTCTTTAAACGGTCTTTCTGCCCTGCTAAATGGTCACCTCCTTGAGGTCAGAGATTTCTGTTTTGATCTAGGGTCTCCATCACTCAGAATGACTCAGGACAGAATAGGGGCTGGAAAGTATTCGCTAGGACAAAGACCAGATAAGTAAATGAATAAAAGCATGTTCCATCTTTCTGGATCCAGATCAAATTTATCTGCCCCTTCTGGTGATGATACCCCATTTCTCCCTCCCCAGATAGAAGTCAGAAAGATGATTCTGGAAGGGTGATTCCAGAATATTAACTGTATAGAGTAGAATAGTTTAGGAGAGGCACTTTTGGTCAGAAGGGACCGTTTATAAAGTTTGTGTTTTTGTGATGTTTGCTTTTTATGGGCATTGTTGTGTTTATTCACCTATGAATAAAAGTGCAGGGGCTGATTTAGATTGTACTTGGGGAAGTGGCAGGTAATGGGAAGATGACAGGCTCCAGGTCACAGGCTGGAGTATATTCCATCACATTTTGTCCTGAAACGGGAGGGCACAGAATACATTCTCTCCAGCTGATTGCACATGCCTACACATGTTTACATGATCATTGTAGATTCACAAGCAGTTGTAAGGAATAATAGACATTCCAACATCAGTTTCCCTAGATGTTGACTAGATCACAACCAGAACCTTGACATTGATGCAATTCAACCATCACTTTTATGCATGCACCTATTTTTGTGTGTGCGTTTTCCTGCCTACTGGAGAGCTGGCCACTAGTGGTCTGTTTGACCTAGGAAGGGATATTGGCTCCTAGGAAAGGAAATTTGACCTAGGAAAGGAATTGGCTCCTGACGGCTGCAATATATGCTAATAGATATATTTTGCACACAGTAGGTGCCAGCAACCGTCCTCATAAACACTTGAATTTTTATGTCCCTGAAGGCAACTGAGGAGTGCAACGTTTTATGGCAGAAAACCGAGCCTTAAAAGCATTCAATATTTCAGAGACAAAAAAAGTTGGCTAGTGTACCCTTTACCCCCCAACTGAGAATTAGCTAGATGGCTAACTGCTACACAGTGATCTTGATGCACATGCTTAGATCTCGCCGTTTTTGAGGCACCCACCACCTGACCCCCTGGAGAAGCCAGGTGGGCTCTCCTTGGTCCCTCTTACCCCTACCTCCACTTTCACCCCTTTCTTCCCCAGGGCTGGACTGTTTCACCCCGTCTCCAGGCAACCGTCAGGCGCGATGCGGGACGTCATTTCCTGAAGAGCCCGCGGGGGGAGGGGGCGGGAGAGGGGGAGTTGCAAGGGGGCGGGGCCAAGGCTGGGCTGGCAACGGCAAAGGCGTCGGAACTCGCTGGAAGACTCGGCCCGGGGCTGCTCAACAGTTCGCAAAGTACGGGCTCGCGCCCGCGCGGCTCCGTCTGCGCCGGGGTGGCGCAGGGGTACGGGGGTCTCCGGGCTGCTGCACCCCGGGACTGTCCCGGACATGCCCCGTACCCCCTGGCGGACGCCCGCGCGGCTCCACCGCTTGCGATTCGGTGGGCTCTGAGCCTAGAGCGACCCTCACCCCAATTTATGACTTTGGGGTCCCCCAGCCCGAGAGGAACAGGCGATCGGCTGGGGAGAGCCCCGAGAATGGTATGACGGGACGGTCAGCTTTGCTCGCCCCCCCCTCCAATCTCTCGTCGTCTCGGTACCCTCCAGAATGTAGCTGCTCTCTCCGCGTCCCCCCGGACTCCAGCTGCCTCCGCGACCTCTGGGTTCCAGCCGCCAACTCCTTGTCCCCAGGGATCCCGCCGCCGTCCCCCCGTTGCCCGGACTCCAGCCGCCGTCTCTGTATCCTCTGGACTTCAGCCGCCGTCTCTGTGCCCCCCGGACTCCAGTTTCGCGACCCCTTCAGCCTGCGCGCGCCGGGTACTCTAGCAACCGTTTCCGTGGGCCCCCTAGGATTCACCCCCCGTTTCTGCGCCCCCCAAGCCCAGACGCCAGCCGCCGTCTCCACGCCACCGGGGATCCAGCCCGAGTCGCTGAGCTTCCTCCGTCCCCCACACCCCCCACCCAGACTCCAGCCACGATCTCCGCTCTCCCCGGGATCCAGCTGTCGCGCCGGTGCCGGCAGCTGTCGCTCCACCGCGAGCCCCCGGTCCGCCCGAGCCTCGGCGGGGAGATGAACGCGCAGCTGGACGGCCTGTCGGTGAGCTCGTCCTCCACCGGCTCGCTGGGCTCGGCGGCCGGGGCGGGCGGCGGCGGGGGCGCGGGGCTGCGGCTGCTGTCTGCCAACGTGCGCCAGCTGCACCAGGCGCTGACGGCGCTGCTGAGCGAGGCGGAGCGGGAGCAGTTCACGCACTGCCTGAACGCCTACCACGCGCGCCGCAACGTCTTCGACCTGGTGCGCACTCTGCGAGTCCTGCTGGACAGCCCGGTCAAGCGGCGCCTGCTGCCCATGCTGCGGCTGGTCATCCCGCGCTCGGATCAGCTGCTCTTTGACCAATACACGGCGGAGGGCCTCTACCTGCCCGCCAGTACCCCCTACAGGCAACCCTCTTGGGGCGGCCCCGACGGCGCGGGGCCCGGGGAGGTGCGCCTGGTGAGCCTGCGGCGAGCCAAGGCTCACGAGGGCTTGGGCTTCAGCATCCGCGGGGGCTCGGAGCATGGCGTGGGGATCTATGTGTCGCTGGTGGAGCCAGGCTCTCTGGCCGAAAAGGAAGGGTTGCGAGTTGGGGACCAGATTCTGCGTGTCAACGACAAATCCCTGGCCCGAGTGACCCACGCTGAGGCGGTCAAGGTAGGGCTCTGGTCTGGGGAATTGTGTGGGACAGTGACACAGCTCTGCACCGTGGTATTACATCCGTGCTGTGTGTCCTTAGGAAAATCACTCAGCCTTTCTGGGCTCCACTTTTCATAAGAATGTTTCTTTGATGAAAAGAGGAACATCTAGTTTCTTGAGCAAATAGATGCCACCTACTGGGAATATAGTCAGAAGCAAAACAGATGAGGATCCGGCCTTAGCGGGAAATATGAAAGAGACAGAATGATCAGATACCGTATTTGCAGATGTATGGTTACAAAGTGTGAAAAGCCCTGTGGATTCATCAGAGCATTGATAGAGGCCTCCCACTGGCATGTGGTTAGTAATCAATGGGTGGCTTTTGCTTCTGCTGTTGTTATTCTCATTATTCTGAAGTCTTTTGTTCCTGAAAGAAAATTGTGTTCATTCCAAAGTGCAGGGAGGCTGTCTGGTGTCCCCACAGCTCTGGCCTGTCTGTGCCTGCTGTTTTTGAACCAATCTGTGTACTTGGGGCAAGTCACTTGCCTCCTTAGAACCTTTAGTTCTTCCCCTGGAAAATGGGGTAACTGCACCAGATAAGTGTCCCTAAGCTTGTTGGACATAAGTCCCCTGCCCCTTGAGAATAGTTGTTACTTATCATGTCTGCTAACTTGAGAAAGAACGTACAGTGGTCTAGGGACTTAACCTTGCCATTTTGAGGAATGTGCCTGTTGGCTCACTTCATGCCCCGGACTGCTGACAGCCAGTTGCATCATGAGATGGCTAGCATCTGATCTAGTGTGGATTCACCTCCTCCCACCCCCCTTTTGTGAAAAAGAGCTGAAGAGTTTTGGGGGAAAGAATCAGTGATACCCTCTGCTGCAAGGAAAATGCTTCCCATGGCTTTGGGCGCCCCATCAACCTGCTTCACCCCTGGTCCTGCCTGTCTTCCATTCTCCTCTGTGCAGGTGTTTTTAACTCCAATCCAGGGCTGTGGCTCCTGGGAAACTTTTAGGCCACAGAGGCCATGGCCACTTCAAATGTGCTCTTTAGTGACCTGTGGCCAGATGTATCTTGAGCCCAATCCTGGCTGTTTACCTGGAACTAGATGACCTTATCTCAGATCTTGGCTTCCTTCATTCACTCCCCAACCTGTCTTTTTCCCAGGAAGGCCACTGAGGAGTATGGACACTTATTTGCTGGTTTTGGGAAAAGGTGTGTGTGGGGTGGGGGTGGGGGTGGGGGTTATGTTGTTGGAATGGCGAGAGGGGTTACAGAGTCAAAAGCTGATTTCTATGTCCTCCAAACATCAATCTTTTCCCTTTATCAGACATGCCTGTAATTATAAAGAAATAGTCCACTAGCCTTTGGCCCTCAAAGGTCTAGAGTTCCCAGATGTTAAATTTATACTCTAAAAATACTTGATCCATACGATCATTTATAAATGTGGATTCAATTTTAGTGGCAATCTAAAAAGACTCCAGTAACTTAATCATCACAGGATGATAGACTTTGCAAAGGCCTCAGGTAACCTGCACATTAAAAACACTGACTCTCCCTTCACTTCACATCCCAGACTCAGTCACGCCACAGGCTGGAGCTGCCTGGCTGAGTTTCAGATCAATTCTTCCCCATCTCGTCCATTCATCACGCCCTGGATCTTCTGTCTGAATGACCCTGAACTGCACTGAGAAGCTGGAACCCACAGACTCAGCTTCACCAGGCCCTGGCTTCTTTCATACTCATGTTGCTTATATCTTAAAACTCAGCTAGCCCTGGCACAGTTCTGAAAGCCCCAGAACTAATCCTTGCAGGCCAGGGAGAGGCTGCTGGGAGCAGAGCTGCCCTGGGATGCTTGGGAGTCTATCTGCCCGGCAGCCTCCTTCCACAGGGTTGTTTTTCTTCCAGAGGCACCTGCTAAGGCAGAAGGAGCACCAATACCAGACACACACAGCCTGCCCCCCCTCCCCCCAGGATGCACGCACTTCTGGATCCTTCCAGAACAGCCAGGGAGAGTGCGGCAGTGTGTCACCTTAACTCCTGGGGGAGGGGGTGGACTTTCCATGGGTGGAATTTAAAACGGAGAAGGCGGAGCTTAGTCTCAGTGACAGGGCAACACCCCTCCATCCCAAGCACCTGGTAGGAAGTTTCAGGGACTATTTAAAAGCACATTTTTTAAACAAGTGTGCCCGGGGGAGGGGGGGTTTGCTCCCTGGTGGCCTGGGGCGGGGGAGTGGTTAAGTCTCAGCACTGTCACCTCTACAGCCTGGTCAGGAGCTGACCCACACATGGTGCAGCAGACCTCTCCCGTCCCTCTGTTCTCTGCTCCTCTTAACAGCTGCTCTGGTCCCCACTCTATCTCTGGTGAATCCTCTACACCCCAGTTCTTCTACACAAAAATAAATAAGATCGTTAAAGATACATAAATAAATAAATAAATAAATAAATAAATAAATAAATAAATAAATAAAAGCACACCTGGAGAGCTGATGACCCATTTCCACAAAATTAGGGTGTCCATTCCTTCTTTGAAAGCAAGGAGAGGCCCTGGCTTCTCTCAGTAGAAGCCAGCGGGAGAGCTCCAGCCCAGGTGACCATAAGCAGGGTGCCTTATCTAGAGGGCTTTGGGGGAGGTACCTGCCTGTCAACTGGACTTTACACTGTATCCACTGTTCTTCGATGTCCTTTTTCTCTTCTGGGATGCTACAGTACTTGCAGTAGAGATGTTTTCTCTTCAATTTTATGTGATCTGCTTATGTGTCTTCCCCTAGCTTTATTGGTGTGTGACTGACAAATTAAAATTCTGTATGCCTAATGTATACCATATAAAGATTTGATATATCTTCCATTGTAAAACGATTATCACAATGCAGCTGCTTAGAATATTCATCATCTCAGGGGTGTGTGTGTGTGCGCGCGCTTGCCGTGTTTAGAACATTTACCTCTCAGTAAATTGCAAGTATGCGATACAGTATTAACTATATTCTCTAGACTGAACCTTAAATCTCCAGAACTTACTCATCTTTATAACTGGAAGTTTGTGCCCTTTGACTGACAGTTCCGCATGTTCCCACACCCTAGTCTGGTAACCACCAGACTATTTTCTGCTTCTGTGAGTTTGGCTTTTTAGATTTCACAGATAAGTGAGATCATAGTGTGTTTATCTTTCTGTCTCTTGCTTATTTCCTTCACTGTAATGGCTTTTGGGTTCAACCTATTGTCCTTTATTTTCATGGCCGAGTAATATTACATTGTGCATATATATTTGCCACATCTTTTTCCATTCATCCAGTAAATGGCACCTGTGCTGTTTCCATATCTCAGCTCTTGAGATGCATTTACATTCTTAAAATCTTTAATTTCCTTCTGCAGGTGCAAAGAGTGGCGGTACCCTCTGAGCTTCCCAAAGGAGAGAGTAATTGTTTGTGTGCTTGTATGTGAGTGCCTGCATGCCTGTGTGTGTTTGTGTATGTGTGCAATAAATAGAAAGTCAAACTTTAAAATTAAGTTACTTCAGGATTTATGAATCAGAGAGGGTGTCCTCTTCCTAGTAAACAGCTTTTTAAAGAGGTGATCAAACATGGAATGTTTTTTGCATTCTCTGTCTGACAAATCAAGCATCCCTTGTTACCAGAGGGCAGTTCAGAGAGGATTTTATCCTCTGCCCGGTGGGGCTCCCAGCCTTCTCTTGAAGCCTATTTACAAAATCAGCAGTGACAGGTCCAGATAAAGCAAGCCATTTACTATTTGCAATTATGTTGAAACGTTTGAGCTTTGAAAAATCTATCTTGAATGAGCAGGAGCCAAACTAATCAGGATAAAAAAGTATCCCTTTGAAAGATTTTCAGCCAAAAAAGCTCGATAAACTGGCCAAGTTGTCCACAGACCTGGGATTCTGCATTGGGCTCTGCCACATACTTGCTGTGTGACCTTCAGCCAGTCACTGACCCTCTCTGTGTCCTATGGTGGATGGGCCAGGGGCTGCCCACGGTCCCTTCCGGCTCAGACAGCCTGTGATTTGCTTGGTATGTGCTACCCAGAAGGCATTTAGAATGTCTAATCCGATGTTTTCTTGTTCTTTTGGAATAGCTTTCGTTTAAGGCAGAGTAAAGAAAGTTGGGTAAGGACTGGGACACAGGAGCCTTGGCACTCCTCCTACTAAATCAGGAAATTGATGGGTTACACACTGTACCGACAAGAACTCGACTATTATCCCTCGACCCAAGAGCACCAACCCTGGTGCTTTTCCAGAGCAAATGAACAGAGGACAATAGGAGTGAAGCGCACACAGCTTCACCGGGGAGCACTCAAAATCAAATCCACTTACCTGCTTGCTTTCTGCCTTCTGGATTCTGCAGGTGGATTAATGCAGGGCATCCAGGTACTGCTGGGATGTGTGTATGTGTGTGTGTTTCATCTCGATGAAAGTGAAACAGCTTCGTTACAGTCTCAGCATCCCTGCAGGTACATCCAAGGAGCAGATGAGAATTTGAAATGTTCCAGAAGTTAAGAACGGTGGCCAGCCCTTTCATCAAATTAGCCTCATCCTTCCTTCCCTTCCTCTGCATCATAACCCAGGGAAGAATCTGTCCGTGTTAATAGACAGGCCTGTATTTGGTCTGGCAGGTCTGACATGACACACATTCATCATTTTCCCATTGTACAGGGTTCACTGAAGCCATCACAGATTGTCAGCACTTCAAGCCTTCAAGTATCGGAAATGCACCTTCTCCCAATGTGGTGTCCCACTCCTTTATTCCAGTTTGGACGCCATGTGTTTGAGTACATCCAGACTTTTCTCTGGTGTTGTGCTTATTCTTGGGTCCTGTGAGTCCTGCCAGCAATGATATGCTGAAAGCTCACTATTAATAAACCCTTTTTTGAATAGATGTTTTGTTGCTGAATGCAGAGTGTGTTGCAGTATGCCGAGGGTCTATTGCTTTAATTTAATCTTGTGTATTTATTTGGCTCAAGCTGATGCTCAAGGTTTTAAAAAATCGTGTTGCCTAGGTAAGATC